GCTGAAAGGTTGGTGCCTGTAGTTCACCCAGAGGCTCCTTGAGAGAAAAGTCCGACAATCCGCGTCCAAAAAGTCATGATACACGAGTGTTGTATGCATAATAGTTTGCAAGAATTCCCCAGTATTCCTTCCAGTGAGATCAGAGACACAACTGTAATGGGTTAAGCAGCAACAGGTAGTCCCATTAGCCAACACCAGAGGTGGGTTATAAACTGCTAATCCCCATGAACCGAGGCACCTGGCAGGTCTAAGGGACAGACACGGGTTTGGATCTAAATTTCCCTTTGCTTCTTTCGGAATATGTGCAAACCACCCACCTGTCCGCCCTTGGCATACACACCTTGATTGAATCATGCCCACTCAAAACTAAGATGTTTCCTTCTAAGAAAGAACAAGGGGCACTGGTGGCGTAATTCGTTATGCATTGGGCTACTCACCACAAGATCCGCAGTTTGAAACCACCTGCTGCTCCACTGGAGAAAGGTGAGGCTTTCTACTCTGTCCTATAGGGTCCGTCAGAATGGACTCAATGGCAGTGGGCTAGTTTAAGAAAATGCCTGTAACTGATAAATGACAAAGTCAGAGTTTATGGTGTTCTGAGAAGGGAATGACAAGGTCACTTGAAAACCGTGTGCCCAGTTGTGCTGTTTATGTGCCAAAATATAGATTCACTTGTGAGACCGGTGTGGCCCCTAGCCTTCTGTATCAATCTTGGGAGTACTTGGTATTATGTTACCAGGTGTCACTGTTCCAAACCCAACAAATGAAGTGTCTTCTGCTCTTCACCTCCCTGTGTCCTGATTGACTTGTCACACCAGGCAACAGACCCAATGTTTGGTAAGCAAGGGTCATAGCTTTGAAAAGCCAATGCAATGGAGCTGTTCTCCATAAGGTGGCCACACACCGAAGTGGAATGGATGGCAAAAGGTTAGAGCATCGTAACTAGTTAGGTGGTGCCTATGGGTTGCTAACCAACGGGGCTGGTGGTTGGAGTCCACCTACAGGCACCTTGGAAAGCACGGTGACCATTCTGAAAAATCTATTGAAAACTCCATGGAGCACGTTCTACTGACACCTGTGGAGTGGCCATGAGTCAGTCCACTCAAGAACTAGGGAGAAGCTGAGAGGGTGGGTCAGCAAGGGGTCATAGAGAAACATCCTTTGAGGGCTAGTCTCTCCCCAAACCCTCTAGGCAGTGACACTGGGGTATGCAGAGTAGAGGGGCCACCTGCTGCTGTATGTAGGAGGGACAGGATTGTGGGCACCTCACTGAGTGCTCTGGGATGTCTGGGGTGACACGAGATCCCCCTTGATGGGTCGCCCCTGGAAATCTTACACATCTGAGGGAGGCTGTTCTGCAAGAAGGTGCTGCCCACATGTGCAGGTGGAGCTGGTGGGCCACCCCAGGATGTTGGGATGCAGTGCATTAGTGGTAGCCCCACCATTCATGAGGAGTGAACACACAGGGGAACATAAGGCAGGATGGGGGTCCTGGTTTCAGACAGCAGGGTGGGAGCTCTGGCCAGGGGGTCTTTGGGTGGCCGATAGGTTTCCTGGAGAGGAGCCTGGTGGGATGGATTTATTTGGACCCTTGTTCTTCACTGAGGCTCTAGGTGCCCACTGGGCCAGGTAGAGGAATGCATTGGGCAGGCCTGGTCCCTGCTGTGGCCCCCCCTGCCCAGTCCAGGGGTACTTTACCCCAGAGCCATCTCACATGGTCTCATACACCTGCAGGTCTTGAGCCTCCGTCTTTGTAGTGATGAAATCACAAGAGTGTTGCGTACCCAGCCAACATTGAGGACCAAGCTTCAGGTGGTGCTCCTGAAATGGGACTTCTCTAGATCCCTAGAAGGAGGGAGCATAGGCCCGTGCCAGTGGTAGTTTGGCTGTGTTCCTTCCAGGGGCTGTGACACTGAGGAAGGCGCCAAGGTCCCTGGCCTGTACCTCATGGGGGTGGGGGACAGGAGCAATTCCTTAGAGGGTCCAGTATGAGGAGTCCCCAGAGCTCCTTCTCCTGGGGTGGATGTCCTTGCTAGACAGGGAATGTCAGTTACCAGACCTGGCCTCAAACCCCCAACCCTGCTCATTACCCTAGAATTCAAGCCAACTTCTAGAGATCTGGTTGGGTCAGAGATGTGCAGCAGGAGGTAGAATTGTTTAATCCTCACAGCATCCCAGTCAATTGTGAGCTTATCTTGTGGATGAAGGAATTGGGCCTCTGAGAAATGAGACTTCCATAGGGTCAAGCTGGCTTAGTTTGTGCTGAACCCACAAGTGGAGCTTGAGTGATGCTGTCAGATGCACTGGACTGCTAACTGTAACGTAAATGGTTCAAAACTACCAGCCATCCCTAGGCAAAGAGGTTATCCTATTCCCATAGGAAACCCATATACTACCTCGTACAGAGCTGCTTAAGTCAGAATTGACTTGATGTAGGTGGGTTTGTTTTTTGAATTCACACCGTGCAGGCTGGCTGCAGACCTGCAGGGTGTGGGACTTTAATCGCTTTATCATGTATTGGAATGGCCTTAGCTAACTGCATTAAGGTAGTGGACACATGACACTTTGCATTTATCAAAACCTATAGAGGGCATCAAGTTGGTGGACAACATCCAGTTGATTCTGACTCATGGGGACCCATGCAACAGAGTAGAACTGCCCCATTAAGGTTTTCTAAGCTGCGATATTCAAAAGAACACCAATTTTTCCCCACTGAGCTGCTGGGTGGATTCCAACCAACTTTAAAGGTTTGTAGCCGAGTACCTGACACATCATCAGGACTCCCAGATGCAAAGTACAGTGCCACTGAGGAGATTCCATGGAGACCCTATAGGACAGATAATTACTTCTATAGGGTTTCCAAACTTCTAAACCTTTAGTGCCACCACTACCCACCCCCTCCCCTACTCCAAGTACCTCTAGCAATCTCATACTTTTCTCCCTCCAACAGCTAGCACGCTAACTGCTGATCTGGTTAACAAGCAAATACCTTGACTAATGCATCACCAAGGCCATGGATTCAAACTACAGACTCAGAATGTAAGAAGTTAATAGAGGAAACTGTGGGAGGGGAGGAGCCTATATGGAAACTTGCTATACTCTCAATTCTCCTTGAACCCCAAAATTATACTAAATTCACTTTAAACACTCTCAGTCATTAGAAAGCAGAGCAAATCAAATTATAGCTAACATTGCCCAGAAACGTCCCTGGCAAGATCACACAGAGGAACTATAATGCTTTCTCATATGCCCATCATTGGGATTGCCCAGGACTTGATCATTTTAAATCAGTCTGACAGTTTCTTAAAGCAAATAGCTACTCTTGTGACATGAGCACTGCCCTTAGAGATGTGAGCATGGGAGAAATAATAGAATTGCCTAAGCTCATAACAAGTTTATTTGTAACAGCCAAAACCAGAAACAACTCAAATGTCCATTTGATAGACAAAGCATCAACAAATTGTGTGTGCATATACACAGAACCGACTACTACTCAGCAATAAAAAGAATCAAGTAGTCACATAAGCAACATTGTTCAATCTCCTAACTATGCAGTATGAAGGAAATTGGGGTGGGAGGGGGGGTGGGGGCGCGCGCGAAGAAAACAGCATTTAAGTTTTCAGTCATATAAACTTCTAGAAAATAGAAACTAATCTATTGTGAGGAAAAAAACAAAACAGTAAACGGGTGGTTACCTGGAGGGATTGGGTGGGTGGAATGGGACGGGACTGTAAGAGGGCCTGAGAAACTGTGGTACTGACAGGGGTGTTTATAATCATGCTTATGAAGATTTCATAGGTTCATACTTATGTTGGAATTAACAAGTATACTCATTATTTAAAATAGGAGAAAAATAAATTTAATTTTTCCCCTCTTCAAAAAACTAGGTTGGGCAACTTTCCCTGACTACAGCATGTTCTTTGTGCCTGGGGAAGGGCAGCCTTGCATCAGAGGCAGGAAATGAACTGAACAAATTACCAGAGCATTTTATCTGAGGCAACAAGCACACTGGCCAGATCACAATGCCACAAACTGGCAACAGGATCTTTATTTCTGACCTCATTTCCTAGTTGCACCAACAAATCTGCAGGCCAACTGGCCAGTTATGTGGTGAGAATCCAGAAACTTAGATGATAGGCTCTGTTGATTACCAGAGCTCCGAGGGAAGGTACGGGTTTGGAGGGCCCAAAAACTTCACTAACACTGGTGCTGCACAGTTGTTATCTCCAGAACTACATTTACCTATGAGTACAAGAGGCACAATTGTGCTCATTTACCAGTAACCCCCAAGTAGCTACAAGTACCTACTAACACCCAGAATCCTGGTACCAAGTGTCATTTGCATATACCAGCTGGCTAAATTTTAGACCCCAGGACACCTGGCTCTGATGAGATCAGGAGATCCGTCATCCAACAGGGGTGTGTATTATGTAATGTCCCCAGTAACAAGGAGATACATATTTCTTCTGTCCCAAGAAGCACTGGAGGCTGCCACAGAAGCACCCCCACTTTGCAAGCATCTTCTGGGGGGGGACACTAACTCTTTACAGGAGTAGAAAGCCTAGTCTTTCTCCCAAGGAGCAGTTGATGGTTTTGAACTATTGACCTTGTGATTAGCAGCTCAACTCCCAGAGAGATGACCATAGTAGATTAAAATAATA